ATTCAGATGGTTGCCTGATCTCTCCCATGTTTGTGTTAACGTGCCAACCCCCCAGGCTGACCATCTACCCCTCTTCCACCACAATGTACCTGAGGCTCACCCACTCTTCCTGTGTGCCCAGAACATCCATGGCAGGTGCCAGCAGAGAGAGCAGAGAGAGCCAAGCAAATATCATTTTTGCTGATGACAGCTGTCAGAATGCGGAAGTGGTGTATATTACATCACTTCCGCATTCTCGTGTCACTCTCCAGCTTCAGATGCTGGAGAGAAGCTGATGAAGCAGATCTCTGCTTCATCAGCTTCTTCAAGGGGTCCTAGGTGACATTAGGGGTCTTGGAGACCGCTGATGTCTCCATAAAGAGGACCTGTCACCTCTTTTCTCAGCCCCCTCTGTGATAGCAATAAAGTTAAGTAAAAAAAAAAATAGATTTTTTTTTCTAAAGTTTCCCCCCCAATTGTTTTTAAAGTACATAAAAAAGAATTTAAAAAAAACACATTTTTTTTAAAGTCCCCACCCCTACATACACGCATGTAAACATGCGTCAGGTGCGCATACCTGCGAAAACGACGATTGCGCCCATTACGCTGCACATGTTACATATTGCCGCGAACGTCGGAATGAGAGCAATAGTTCTAGGGCCATCAATCACTGATAACACTAAACTGATGAGCTGTAAAAGCGTTTAAAGCGTCGCCTATGGCCAATTTTGGGCATGCTAGTTTTTTGCGATTTCGCGAGTGCGCGCAATTTTTAAGCTTGACATGTTTGGTGTCTATTTACCCGACGTGACCCCGACTTTTATATTTGACCAAAAAGGGGGTAATATTAGTTGTTTTATAACATAATGTTAAAAAAAACTTTTTGTTTTCAAAATTTTCAGCAATTTCTCCTTTATTATAGTAAAAAATAAAACCCCCAGTGGTGATTAAATACCACCAAAAGAAAGCTCTATCTGTCCCCAAAAAATGGTATAAAATTAATTTCAGTACAGCGTTGCATGACGAAATTAATGTCAGTCAAAGTACTGCAGCGCTGAACACTGAAAAATGGCCTGGCCAGGAAGGGGGTCTAAACACCTGGTCTTCAAGCGGTTAAAGGAGCTGTGATTTTAACATCACTTAAAGGGAAACAATAAAAATGAAAAATTTCTTTAAATATCATGGGGGGTCCCCTTAAACTGCCTGTAAAGTGGCACATCTGTACAATGCATAGAACCTGCTGCAGCAAAAGGACATTTATAAAGAAACAAATTATATTTAAAAACAAAAAAAGTGTGTGGTTCCCCCTCCCAAACAATACCAGACCCTTTAGGTCTGGTAGGAATGTTAGGAAGGACACATATATCTGCCTTGAAGAAGGGACCCTGCGCGGCCCCGAAACGTCGGCTTTGTTGATTGTCGTGACATAATTGTCCATTAAAAAGGACTAATTTATTTAAATTATTTGAGTGCTGGTGACCTGCTTTTTCATTTCGTACTTTGCACGGTGCCATCCATGGTAGTCACTACAAGCACCATCATTCTTACTGGCCAGGATTGCTGTAAGGTGTGCGGAGAGCACCCTCATCAACTGAATGCTGCAGCAAAAGGACATTTATAAAGAAAAAAATTACATTTAAAAAGAAAAAACAAAAAAAGCGTGTGGTTCCCCATCCCAAACAATACCAGACCCTTTAGATCTGGTAGGAATGTTAGGAGGGACCCCATGTAAAAAAAACGAAACAAAAAAAAGTGCGTGGGGTTGCCCCTCAAAGTCATACCAGGCTCTTAAGGTATGGTAGGAATTTTGAGGAACCCCACCCCCAAAAATGGGGGGGGGACATGGGGTCCCCCTCTAAAATTTCATACCGGACCCTTGATCAAAGCACAGGCCTGGCAGGGCAGAAAAGGGGGGGGGGATGAGCAAGCACCCCCCCTCAATGCACCATACCAGTCTACATGCCCTCGGCATTGGGAGGGTGCTTTTCCACCCATGCCAATGAGGGCAAGGGCCTCTTCCCCACAACCCTGGCGGCGGTTGTGGGGGGTCTGTGGGCACTGTTACACTCAGCCACTAATTCTTGGTGGGGGGAATTGATTTTTACAGGCTACCACTAACCACCAATGATGGGGGTGTTAACTTTACTACCACTGACCACCAACCATGGATGAATTATTGCAACCATTTATATCAGCGGTGGCAGTTATTATTGCTGCCAATGACACCAGTGCTGGGGTTACTAATACTGACACCAATGATGCTGCTTATTTTAGTCCCAGACTACAAACCATGTGCTGTAAAGTGACACCCACGTTATTGACCCCACATCCAGGTGTTCCGCAGGTGGAGCCCTATGCATGTCTCATTTTCATAATACATTAAATGCATCCCATCTTACCATGTCCAAATGTTGGCAACTATGTAGGAGATAGCGTCTCTAAGCTCCTGCACATCAGGATTGAAATGCTAAGTTCAGTCTCTATGCATAAAGTTGCACTCGTACTTAAAGCTGGTGTTGTCCTTCCTCCACCAGCCAATTCTGCTCCCACCTTCAGCATACATCAATGGGTGCCAGATTTGCTAGACATTGTCACTCTGCTCTTCCCTACACTTAGCAGGTCTATTGTTACCACATGACTGACTCCTTGTGCAGTTTCTCTCCCAGGCCAGACTCTGCTGTATAGAGACTGCAAGAAGTGGATAACAGGTTAAACTCAGTTAGCTACACTGTGTGTATTAAAACAAAAGGAATGAATACCAAGCAACATTAATTTGTGTTTTTGATATGCGTCTGGAGTTGTTTTAAGGTCCACTTCTCTCATCCAACAAATAAATGTAAAAGCCCTAATGCTCCGAATGGAGCTTTGCGGCTGAGACAGATCAATACCAGATATATCCGATAGTAAGATGATGCTTATCACAGTGGATACATTGCTTCTCTTTTGATACACATCATTCATCTTCTGGCGAGCGCAGAAATCTCATATTTGTTTTGGTATTAGAGCAGCCTTTCTCAACCAAGGTTCTGTGGAAGCCTAGGAATCTTCTAGAGGTTGCTTGAGCAATTTTTGCCTGTCATATATAGTAGGTAACCACTGACACCATTGATCTTTTCAACTATTTGTAAGAGGGACAACCATTGTAAGAAGAATTCTTCCTACTGACCACCAATCTAAGGGAGCATTTCACTCACTACCAACAGCAAATTATTTTGTTTTATAGAGCAGCTTTGGGTGTATTGTTTTATTTATGTCTCAACCGTAAGGCACTTGGAGCTGTATATATGTGTAATGATTAGTATGGATTCAAAGAGAAGTGAAAATTGTTTCAAAGGTTCCTCCATTTTAAAATTTGGGACCTGGCAGACTTGCGGCCTGTCTGCACATGCATGAGATGTAGTGCATGTGCAGGCATGCTGCAGAACTGTGGGGTGTCTGCACTTGTGCAGAATCTCATGGCGTGCATGGCCCTGAAAACTAGGAAGCAACAGGAACAGCCATTTCAAGATGGCAGCGCAGAGGTCGAGGGGTGCAAGGAGGGAAGAACTTGGCCTGGTTAGTGTGTTTTTCTTTATTATACAGGAACAATTATTAGAGTAATTTAGCTTTACTTAGGTAAAGTTCCTCTTTAAGTAACTGATCTAGAACAAGTGGGTAGATAAGAAAAAACAAGAAGATTTAGGGCCTGTGTCGGTGGCTCACTCTGACATCAGCTTGAGATGCTTCAAAATTCATTGACAGATACATTTAACCTGCAGCTGACCTCTTTCTGACCGGCTTCAAGTGGGTTTTGCATTACCATAGACTGACATGGGAATGCAAAACCCATATGATGAGACCAAAAGCCAACTGACACAGGCCCATCATAACTCAAAGTATTGAAGCAGAAGAGTTGGGATAACTGCAAAGCAATAGCATTTGCAGAATGAGACATAAGCAATGGTAGCCTGTGTTTCTCTCTGGAAATGTGTCCTTTATATAGAAGTTTAATTCTTTCCCTTATTTTCTCTTACTGAAAAGATTAAGCTGCAATCAGAACAAAAATTGGGGGGAAAAAAATCCCAAATTTCGAATCGTCATTGAGCATTTCCCCTCACTTGCTGTTGGGTCTACAGGACAGTAGGTCAAGTCTCCTCAAAAGGACAAAAAAAAAAAAAACTGACAGAGGATTTATCCAAATGAAAAAAATATTTTGGCTTTAAAAATAATAAAAACCCCATAACTGCACAATGAGATTTAGCTTGGCCGCTTATAGTTTATTTTGGAAGTGCAGAGCACAAGTGGGAGAGTGTTGTCACCCTATAACAGGAAGGGCCTGAACAAGAACCTTCATGGCAGGACCACCAGGTATGATTTTAATGAATGCTGCAGATTTTGAAAAAGATTGAAAACAACTTTTAAAATTACACCAACATGCTCAAGTTAATGCGTTTTTAGTGATTGAGATCTATTTCAAGGGTTCATTGGGTTAAGCCATGTGCCAAACATGCTTTATTGTGCTTTGCTACACCCTGCGATATCACAGACTATTTTAACTGCACCCTACCAGCAGAAATCATTATCTCTCAATGATTTTTCAGTGTAGCTCATAGCAAGTCACATCATGTGTTGTGGACCGCTAAAGCGTAATTTCACTCCATGGATCTGCTGGGGTGACAATAAAATAAATAGCATCTCAACACAAGTACAGCTACACATGGTATAAATATGCTAATGTGTGTGGGCTGAAACTTGTTAGCGTCTTTGTACCATGTGAGCTGTACCTGCTATTATAATAAATTCTGGAACTTGTAGCTGTGTGCTGGACACAAGTCTTTTTATACTATGGTTGGAGGCAAACAGGAGTACTGCTGAGCACCAGCATTTGCCCAACTATTGTGGGTGGAGGTGGACCAGCCACACATTTTTGTGAAAGATAAAAAAAATGAAAATTAAATACGTGACTGGATGCAAATAGGCAATACAAAAACAGGCGCTTGCCTATGCCCAACCAGGACTCAAAGCACAGAACCAAGCCAGAATCAAACAATTCAGGCACTTTATTAACATTAATACACAAACTGTGCAACAGAATTTTACAACTAACAAACAAACAAAAAATGAAAACATTATGGAGAAAATTCAAACAAAAACATGCTCTTATTGAGGAATATGCACAATAAATAGGACATTCCCATAGGTGGGATGATCTCTGCTTGAAAAACATTGTTTACTGCTTTGCATATGGTTTTTTTTTTTCATTTTCTTGCAAAAAAAGTAACAGGGAAACTAGTAATCTTCCATCTCAACGCTGTCTTTAGAAAAATGTCAAAACCGTAAAAAAGTTGTGCAGCATTCCACTACCGAAAAATAGTTATTTTCTTTTATCAAGACTATTGAAGCCAGTGCTCTTGAAAGTCACATATCTAAATCTAGAAGTCCTTTTTGTTTGTAGCACAGTCTTCATGAAATCTAGGGAAGAACATTATATTCTTGCAGCGGGGTTCCCCCATCCCTGTGGAGAGAAATGACAGAATGCATGAGTGAAATATTATCCTGCTAGCACAGAATTCCGATTCACTTTACAGTCTTGTTTGTCTATTTTAATAAACCAAGGAGACACGGCAGCGGAATGAGCAAAACCAACTAGCAGCCAAATGGTGAAATGCTGATCAGCTCTGTAGGCGGTGATTGCAGCTCTTGTATAAACAAACTATATGTGTTAGTATATATCACATATGTCAAACTCAAGGCCCAGGGGCCGAATCCGGCCCACCAGGCCATCTCCTAGACTTCTACTTTCAGATCTAGGTATTAAGTTATTACTAAAACCAGTGATAATCGAATGCAGAGGCAATTATGATAAAGATTAGATACATTTATATAGTCTTACAGGCCCTTGAGGGCAACCATAATGTTGATGCGGGCCACGAGTAAATTGAGTTTGACACCCCTGGTATACATCATCATTCATTAAGCAGCAAGGTCGGATAGGTAATGGATAAATAAAGTAATGTTGGCCATACAGTGTTTGAGTTTCAGTAGGACTCGGTCGAAATTCCAACAGTTTGTGGCCCAGTTGGCACCCATCCATTTGACAAAAGTTGATTTTTCAATTGACCGCCAATCAGCTGCTGTCAATGTTTGGGTATTTTGACATGGCACACCCGTTGCTGTCAGAATACAACAGTCCAGCTGGGGGGGAGGGATTGCTCCAGCCACGCTTACAGCATGGATGGAGGAATCCAGAGTTTGAGAGTGTATGGGCAGCCTAAGGTGGCAAAGTTTTTCTTTTATAACTCTTGTGATCCTGGCAAGGCTAGATGTCCATCACTGTAACCTGTAGACTCAAAAGCCTTGGTGCTCAGAGCAACATTTCACTACTAGGATCATATCTTTCACACCAGTTTTACCTAGCTAAGAACACTATGATAACATTATATGAGATTACTTTATTATTATTGATGATGGGATAAATGTGTGACTGATAAAAGTACAGGGCAGAGCTGCCTTTTTGCCTCTGTAACATACTGCACCTAGTGGTAAATTCGGTGCAGGGTTTAAAGCCTACCATGTATTAAAACTACAAAAAGTAATTAAATGAATGAATACCAGTACTGCTGCCTAAATTATTCCTAGTATGCAGGACTACAGTAAAGCTATTAGACTGTAAGCAAAGGCCGGGACTGCACTGTGTAATGTATTGTAGAATATGATGGTGCTCATATATTAAAGCACTGTAAAATGGACCTGTCAGGACAGAGATATGAAAGCTGCTACTGCTGACTTGTGAGTGAGGTTGCAGGCTCCAGGTCTATCATATTTAACCTTGCTTTATTACTTTGTGATCCAGAAAAATCATGCACCAGTGCCAGGATACCTCATATACACATACAGAAGTGTTCAAACTATCGTTTTTTGTAGGGACTGTTACTTTTATTCACTAAGGTAGCATTAAAATAGAAATACGCAATTCCAGTCAATAATGACAATGCCATCACATTCTTTTCATTCTATGCATTATACATCACATGAAATAATCTGTCATTTGCAGCAATTACAGCTTTGCAGACCTTTAGCTTTTAAGCTGTCAACTTGATAATCGTGGGAGAAACCTAATTCATACTGTATTTAGGGATTTGTCTTACCAATTCATTCCAGACGACACTATATGGCGCAAACTACCCTGCCCTCTTTGGTAAATGTATGATTTTGCTCAAGGCTTGGAGTGTTCATCCTCTTTCCTGGCTGGAACCAGTAGCCGCAATCAAGACAACCAACCTGCCAAACTCCTTTATCTATTCTGAGTACTGAAAGTACCTATCCCCTCATATATGGTTCTCGTTTTAAAACACGTTTTTTGATTATCTGGAATCATAGCAGACCAAACCTGCAAAGACATACAGTATGCGGTATCAAACCAGTTTTAACATTGGACTGAGAGCTCCCGCATCTACAGGAATATTAGCAGGCAGCACAAGGGGCCTCCCTGATCAAAAACCCTGTTGTCAATTAAAGCTAAGGGGGGGAACTTAGGAAAACTGGAGCAGACAGAATCTGGAGCATCAGCTTCTCCCTGCAGTTTGTTCAGTTAGGCTTTGAAAATTAAAGAGGTAAGCTGATTGGTTGCCAAAGGTAACTGTTCCAGATTTTGTCTGCTCCAGTTTTGATAAATTCCCCTCGAAGTGTCTTGTAGGGTATTTTCCTTTGACCTTCCCACAGGAGCACAATAGAGTGGAGATCTAGCAATTGCCATTCTATGAACGATAGCGCACCGGCTTCCTGCTTCTTCACTAAATAGGTTTTGCATAGCTTAGAAGTATGCTTCAGATTGCTATCCTTCTGCATGATGAAATTAGCACCAATCAAGTGCTGACTACAGGCAATGTCATCATGTTGTAAAATGTAAAGGTAACCTTTCTGGTTCATTATTTTCTGCAATCTGTGCAAATCTCCCACCTTACCAAAGCAGCCGCATACAAGTACATTTTCTCCACAATGTTTGAGAAAAGGAATCCTTACTCCTGCGTATCACACGTTATTGATCCGAACACCTCAAGCTTAGACTCATCTGGCATACTATGTTTAAATCATCCAGGGTACATTGTCTGTGCTCTTTTGCCCTTGTATAACCTTTTCTTTTTGTCAGTTTCACATATAGCTTTTTCTCTTAAGGCTAAGTGCACAGGCCCTCTGTTGGCTGATTGATGGAGAACATCAATATTTTGGAAGGAAAATTTATGGAAACAGCCAAGAGAGGGCCTGCACGGGATCTGTTTTTCAAACTGCAGTTGCACATCCGGGCTTCTGTTTGGGTACAGTTTTTTACAAAACTGTAGTGAACAGCTTTGTAAGAAATCTTCAGGTTTTTGGAAATGCAACACATGGAATACGCTTCATTCGACAATACAACACATTTCTTGAGCCAATTGTTTTACTTTGGTCATTCTGCATTAACCAATTATCATTTTAACATGATTATTAAAGAATGCGTTAAGAGAGATTAGCATTAGGACACATAAAGATGCTGAAAATGGGACAGTCAAACATCATATGAATAATAAATAAAATTTAAAAAGCCCTCAAGACTTTTCACAGCAGTTTGGCAATTCTTGTGTCTTTACTATTCTAAAGTATTAATGATAACATTTACTGAACATCAATCCCAGTGTGTCTTTACCTGGTACACTAAGCAAAAATCTTTATGCAACAAGAGTGCAACCATAAGGGCCCATTGAAAATCATGATTTATGGCCCTCCGCATTACTGGCTACCAATGCACTAAAACCGTAGCTCACCAACACTGCAGTGCACTACAATACACATGCCGTTCTTCACATCTCTCAGGTTGCTAAGGAAGCGTTTGTCTGAAGATTGTTGAATCTGCTTCCCAATACATCATGTGGTCAAAGCCTTAAAAATGTATAATTTGTATTATCCTTTTCTTTTTTTTAATAAAAGTAAATATTTTGAATAATACCATTCACTGATGAGAATTTCTCATATTTACAGCCATAATGGATTAGGTTAAATTCATTACTGAATTTCTACTCTTGTACACAGTGCCATCTACTGGCAATATGCAGTATTTCATTTGGCATTTTAGCTACAAGCTTCATGCCCTTACCGTAAAGTCTTCTTAGAAAGCCATACGATCCTAATGGGCACCTGACCAGTGGTGGCTAAACTTTGAATTTATAAAGCCTCATAAATAAGACTATAGTGATCCCTGTAGCCTAATACTCTTACTGTCCTGTCCGAGCACTACCTGAGCATTTTGGAAATACTAGCACAAGATCTAAATAAAGTAGGTCTTTGAAATGAAGTTGCCAGTCACACACGTTTGGTGGTAGACCCTAACGCCCATGACTTAAAGTTCTGTTGTAGGTGTGGGCAATTATCTGTCTATAGGGTGTCATTCATCTTTGAGACCAAAATTGCACGATTTGCCTAATTGTGAACAAGTGGACTGTGCAGTAACTAAACCAGAACTAATAGTCTGGTATTAAAAACTGTAAGTGCAACATAGAATGTATTTTTCCAAATCTGAGTGTTGCATATATTCATAAACAGTACATGCATTAGGGCCAACGCCTAGATTTTTAGTAGGAATTCCCAAGACCATTAGTTTATATGGATGGACTCAAAGAATAACGAGTGGGCTCAACCAGGTTCCACGTTGATCAAGGTTATCAAAAGGCCTCTGAAAAGAAATAGGGGTGTGTGAACGGTTGGTATCTTGGTGTCCAAAAATTTGGCCGGGAAAAGTACTTAAGCTTTTGAAGCAAACGTGCTGTAGCTGTATTTGGTCAGTGCTGCAATGTCAGCACTAAATATTCTCTGCTCCCAGGTGAGCTTTGTCATCTTCCCAACAGAAACTCAACAGATAGTATGTTCCAGGCTTTCCAGAGAATCTCTTTCTTCATGTTTGTTAAATGTTCTAAGAGAAGTGTTCTACTGAGTGATGGCTGCTGTGGCATCTGGAGGCCTCCAATAAGGATATTATTTCAAATATTTCTGCCATCAAAATCCCTTATTTGTAATTGCATAAGGGCATAAAGGGGTTGTTGGGAGTCACCATAATTTTCTGGTTGAGTTACTATTTGATCAGGGATTGAGTTAAGAGTTTCTATTCTGGACAATAGGTGTGTTCTACCTTACCTCTTGACTAGGTTGCAGTGCCTAAACAATTGGTCTTTGCAGGTAGACTTAACGTGTGCCCTCCTCAAAAAAAAAAGAATTCTCTTTTGACAGCTCTGCTGTGGTTGTGGCGAGAGGGTTGGATTAAAAGAGAAATGTCCAAGAGAAAGCATTCAGTAATAAAGTCCACTGATCGGTTTCTGAAGCCTGAGTACCATGAGATGTAGCTCCTGATCTTGCATCAGCTGGGGCTGGGGCTGGCTAACTTTTAGGCAGGAGTCTTGAAGAAGCGCTCGGTCATTTATATGTTATCCTTTTGGGCATACTGAAAACGCTAAAGATAGCAATACTGTACCCATATCAAGACCACTGTCCCACATCTGCTAATGCATGCAGCTAATAATAAATAAAGAAAAGCTGTCATTCTTCAGGGATATCGCTGCAAAATGACATCATGCAACTGTTTCATCAGCAGTCAGTAAAGTGCCTTTTACCCTCATACATGGATTCCTTTGCACAGCAACAAAATTAGACAAAGAATTTCTACATTTCCAATGAAACGGAGTAGTATTTTTAGGGATGAAAATTAAATGAACATATTAAATTAACGAAAATGGTTAAATAAAATAAGGCACAGTGCAATCTGAAGACAGCAGTTGCATAATGCGAGAAATGTGTTTATTTATTAAAGAAACCCTGTGACCAACTTAAAAAACTGAAGGTTAAAGCACGGAAAAATCAAGTATTTTAAATGCTAACTTGCAGGGTTTTCGTCGCCATAAATTATTTTTTAGCCACTTGCAATGTGCAATTGGATTTGCAAAAAACAAAACTAGTCTAGTCTTGATGATTACTCAATTACAGAGCACAGCCCCCTCCCTCCTTGAATATCATAGCCTTCTCCTCTTCTGAAAGTGCATAATTACTTCCTGTGCTGGCCCAGCTCTTCTGCCCCTCTCTTTCCTATAACCTTTTAGGTAGCAGCCAGGGAGAGGAATGGAGGGAAATACTATAGAGTGTCACTTAAGTGACAGCTCCGAGTCTGCTGGGGCTTTGTACACCTCCAAGATGGTGACACCCAGCAGCAGTCTCAGGGTTTCTGGCTATCTAAACAAGGGAGGTTTTACAGGTATTTAGCATGCCTAAAATATGTAATATGGACATATAATCTCATGCAAAGATTTCGGTTTAAAAGAACGGTCTCTTAGAGATAGTGTGTCTTTAAATATGTTTGCACTCCAATGGTCCGCCGTGCTGAAAAATCTTTTTTTGGATGAAGTCAGCTCCCTCCACAATTAAACTCACCCCAGTAATAGAAGTATGCAAAATCTGGTAGTGCATGGTGTGGGGGTATAGCTCAAATGGGGATCACCTTCCCTGGGAAAAAAAAAAGGTAGTCCAGGCAGCAAAGTCCTTCTTTAGTCTGACTTTCAGTTTTTATTTAAAAGGTTGCAATAAAACAAAATAAAACAGAAAACAAATCCTTGCCTTTCGGTCTCTGGCTAAACAGGCAGGTTTCCTCTCTACCAGGTGGTGAGCTCATCTCAGCCACCTCACAAAACAAAAGTACTTTCAGCAACCTTTTACTCACACACATCCAACTTGTCGCTCTCTCAAGGTGGCCATACACTGTACAACCATCGCAAGACCTTAGTCTTGCGATGGTTGTAAAGTGATTAAAAAAACGTACGATCTGCCCATCTTGGACAGGCAGATCGTACTCTCGATCATCGCAAGCCCGCCCCCCTGAGGGGCGGGCTTCCGATGACCGCAATGCTGAACGGGCAGTGTGCGCACACCGGCACGTTCGGCATTTGTCTCCCGAGCACCGTTCAAACCAGCCGAAAATCGTACAATTCTCGGCTGGTTTTCTAGCGTGCTCCTTAGACAAAAGACGTGCGACCGTACAGTAGAAACGGTCGCACGCCTTCGTTTACACTGCTCGATTCTCGTACGATCGCGGGATTTCCCGCGATTCTCGTACGAGAATCGAGCAGTGTATGAGCACCTTCAGAATGCTGTCCGAGTCCCAGGCCAGAGCAACATCATGCCTTCCCCTTTATCTCACCTGGATAATCAATCATTAAGCAATTAACAATCCAGGTGAGAGACACAAAACCAGAGCTGGATTATTCAGACCCAACGTCAACCCGAAAACCTGGTCTGGGTTCCGCTAGTCCTGTATATAGGCTAGAAAGCGAGGGGAAATATAGCGCCCCTCAATGATTTCCCCTTTCCAATGCCACAATGGGTACATCTGCCCATGTATGCATATGATGCCTTCCACTGTGTCCAGCAGGACACAGTTTGTCTTTTGTCCATAACATCTAGTTATTCTAGTTTATACAAATCTGTGACATACTTGAGTTAGTAGGCACTGGTCTCTCGAAAGAATAATTCAATTGTAGTCTGAAAAATCTAAACAGCTTGAACACCAGATTTTACAAAGCCTGACTCATAAATTCGGGTTAAATGTTATGCTTAGTTTGCCTAATCTGCTGCTATGTAATAAAGGCTCTACATTTTTACTAAAAGTCAAGAAAACTTTATGGTATCTCAAATGTAATTTTCACATCACTGCCTATATGTAATCATGCGTTTTTATTTAAGTTGAACAAAGTATAATTAACAGGTTTTTTTTTTTTTACAACTGTTCTGGTTAATGACTGCCAAACGTCCTGTAAAAACGTTCCTACCGGTATAAGAAATACTTGCAAATGCATGTTGACTTTTCGGTCGACAGTACAGCTGATTAAGGCACAATTACGCATAAGCCATTTTCTCCAATACAACAGTGCCACCCAGTGGAAGCAGACAGATGTTCCCTCATCTGCTTCAACGTTTCTTTTCTACCAACATTGCGCTTTACGATGAGCATTTTCAACATTTTATGGGGAAACATGGGCTTTTCTTTCCATTCCTGGCTGAAGATGTAACAGTGGTGATGGCCTATACCAGTAACAGACTCATGAATCACCCACTCTATTCAATGCCAGATTTATTATGGACAGATGACAGCTAATAATAAAAAAAAATGTTAATGGCCATAACATTTCTGTATTAAATTGAGCTGAACATTGAGAAATGTCTAACCAGGTGAACGTAATGTCTGTGTGGTTACCACTGGGTGTGGATGAAGCAGTAAATAGACCAACTCAAAAAGTAAGGATGGAAGGCCACAAGATGAGAGACATTAGATACATGAATTATATTTCTAACAAAATAGAGTACAGACTTATTATGTCGTCAATAATTTTGGTGCCAAAAAATAGGTTTTTTTTTTAAAGTCAAGTCCTTCCACTGCCAATATTTAGGCCTTGTAAGGGAATAAAATACAAGCTAGTAATTGGACGTGCTGCATTTACATGTAGACAATCTCCTCTGGACGCAATTTGCGAGACTCACTCAATCGGCTCCGTTCGCAAGTGCAAATGGGGCCTAGAGGAGCAAGTTATCGCTCCCCCCCTTGTTAGCATGTTAATTGTCATTACGTTGTCTTTTTGTTTCGTTTTTTTTAATTAATACATGACCGTTGCATTTTAAAGCAAGGGGGTGTTCAGCTATAGTCTAGCATTTTGGTATGACCGTTGCAAACCACAATAACTAGACCATACTTTTTAAAGAGGTCCTCCTTAGGCCCCGTTCACATATAGCGAATTGTCGCGCGATTTCCGCCTAGATATCGCGCATTTTTGCCGCGCGATATCGCGAGAAGTCGCCGGCCAATGTTATTCAATGGAGCTGTCTTAACTCCATGTCGCGCGTCGCAAGTCGCTTCTACCGGACCCTTTTTTCGGCGGATTTTGCGCGATTTTGCTTTTTTCCTATGGAGCCCGACGGGGAAGGTCGCGCTACCGTCGCTGGATCGTCGCTGGAACGTCGCCCCGAAAGTCGCGCTATCCCGGCCGTGCGGATCCGCTGCAAAAGGTATGTCGCTAGGTGTGAATGGGGTCTTAAACAACTTTTGTAACAGGCTTGGGGGGAGGATAAATAAAGCTCTGAATTACTTTTCTGGAAAAAATGTTGCTCCAGGTCCCCTGCAATGCTGGTCATGTGAATGAAAATTTAGGCATTTGGTCTCTGCAAAAGAGGAGGGTCAACCAATCTAGACTCTGATCTTCTCCTGGAAAGAGTTCACTTGCCCAATCCCCTAAGCTGAAGGGAGTCTGGAAGAGCCCTTTCTCCAGGAACGGTAACTATTTCAGTATTTATTTATTTCTGTAATCATGTAAAGGGAGCTTCAAGTAACATTTCAGCTTTAATGTGAGACAAACGCTAGCGACTCATTTTACAGTACAGATATCCACCTGATCCAGTACAATAACTGATACCATATATTTAACCTCGAGCAACTTCATATCTAGATAAAACACGAATGTAGATTGTACCTTGTAAGGCCTTCTAATCTCATCTGTGTCTTCAAAATTCCGTGAAGTGTAGTACTGGTTAGAATTTCCTCTGTAATATGCACCCTGCAATGGGAAAAAAAGGGAGAATACCATGAAATACACAAGACATAGTAAGGTATATTTGTACAGAGTACCGCTATAGATTTTACAGCAACATGTTTGATTATCATACACAGCATTTGATTGACGTAAAACAACAACTATACCTTTGGTCCAACAAGAGCACATCATCTCAAACACTTATATTCCCCCACTTTCCAGCAAAACTTTGCTGTGTGTACCTGCCCACCACCACATGGGTAAACCATACTCATGGTATCCTCCAGAGGTCCAATAGAGTACATCTAACCAACAGGAATGACAAAAAATAATAATAATAGGCAGCAAAAAAATAAAATAGGAAATAATAGCCTGTATCTCTATATGCAATGTGGATAATAAATCCACAGATGTGTCTAACTCTATATGCTCAAGGTATAATCCCACCACCTACTGGACTGGAACACTTAACTCATCAAAATGACCACCAGTTTAAAGGTAGGTCAAAAAGCACTCAATCTCCTCTCCATGGAATCAAACAAGCTTCCCTCAATGGGCCTGAATAAAGAGGAGTTTGGGTTTGGTACGAACATGAGCTCCTCTGAACCTAGAAGGGGCATGGGGCCACCCACCCAATCAGCTGCACTTAAGCAATGTTTGAAAATAATATTAAGTAATGTGCAATTTCATGTTATTAAAGGGAGGCTGAAAGTGACTACCTAATTCTGCCATCAGAAAGCAGTGTTATTGGAAGATGCAGAGAAGGCTGATTGGACATACTTGTGCATCTTGGATTCAACAGAAGAATTCTCTACTCTGATCTAATTGATTGTTATGAGCTGACCTTAGACTTAGCTTAGGCCTCAGATTGTGGCCAAAAGTGCAGACATGATACAACATTCAGAAGAGGTCTTTTTGAGGTAGAAACACGAGTGCACATATTGCCTAATTGTTCATGTTTCTGCCTGTAAATGAGGGAGTAGAGACAAACCTACTGACTTATCTCCAAGGGGAAAAGGTAGGCTTGTAGTGTCTACTTGTGCCATAGATATGAGATAGTTACAATATGCAGCTGTTTTTGTGCAAGGCTCCTTGCATGCCTTTGGCCAAGTTCAGATATATATCATGTTAATAGCATTATCAAACTGCAGACACCAGGCAACGGACACGCCTTACGATTTCTTGCATCTTTGGAGCCAAGAAGGAATAAGACAAGGTCTAAAAATCAAGCTATAACTTCACAAAGGCTGCAATGACTCATTCATGGGTGGTATCCAAAATGATTTCACTACTCCTTGACACTAAATGACGTCCTCCACCATAAAACATGGTGAACACTGCGGCTGAATAGGAAATATTGAATATGGATAATATTACAGTGAATAAAGTACAGGATATGCCTGGGTGTAACACAGGACTGTCATTATGGAACAATCAGATAAAGTTCAAAGAATAAGAAATTAACTGTGTTGACCTGCTTAGAAGCGAACATTGCCTTAACAGCACTGTTTTCCATATTAGCGATCAATCATTTAACGATTAGCTAAACAAGGAGCTCGAATGTTTAAGGGTATGTATACAGTATAAAAACAAAATGGTGACCTAACTGGATACTCCTTAGGCAGGCCAAAGATGAGCTAACTCATTTCCATGAAAATACATGAAGAAACTTGATTTACTGGTTAACAAACAACATAAAAATGTTGTAGCTATGCCAAGGTATACAGGTCTGGTGTCTGAATATGAAGCCAGTGCATCCTAAACGAGGCACCTAAAATCTCCAGTCCTCAAAAAACACTTCTCTCTAATGTTCTGCTGGTTGCCAGCAGTCTTTTGACATCACATACAGGTGAAACTCAAATAATTAGAATATTGTGCAAAGTTCATTTATTTCACTAATGCAACTTAAAAGGTGAAACTAATATATGAGATAGACTCATTACATGCAAAGCAAGATAATTCAAGCCGTGATTTGTCATAATTGTGATGATTATGGCTTACAGCTCATGAAAACCCCAAGAACCCCAAATCCACAACCTCAAAAAATTTGAATATTACATGCAATTAATAAAACAAGAATTGTACATAGAACAATATCGGACCTCTGAAAAGTACAAGCATGCATATGTACTCAGTACTTGGTTTGGGCCCCTTTTGCAGCAATTACTGCAATAACTTTTGCACGATATTCTAATTATTCGAGTTTCACCTGTATAATGCATGACCAGCAGGTCTGCATTGTAGGTGAGGACACCGAGGGCCACAACCCGGATCAGAGATGTGAGGGACCTAAACAATCCACTTGATTTAGACCCCCACAGGACACAGCCGATTGTAAATTCTGTTAATTTGACCAATCACATATAGATCTGTGCTAAGCAACTTACTTGCATGTGAGAGACAGAAGGGGCCTGTGGCAGATAAGTTTATTAGGGCTGTTACTGATTACAATTTTCGTGTTCGATTAATTGAAAAAAATTTTAATCGATTAATTTTGATTAATTATAACACACATACAGATCCAACTACATTGGCCTATACACATACAGCACAGCAATGAAGTAATAAAATGAACTAGGATCACACTAATCCTGCACGTTATTAATCTCACGTCCCCCACTCAAGCGCATATTGAGTGGGGCACCTGAGATAAATAACGTGTTGGATTACTGTGATCCTGGTTCATTAGAGTGATCCTAGTTCATTTTATTACTTTATTGCTGTGGTGTATGTATATAGGGCAGCGATGGCGAACCTTTTTGAGCGCGAGTGCCCAAAATGGATCACTAAACCAACTTACACGTCTCAAAGTGCCAACCCTGCACTTCGAGAAAAAAACTAATGTGCAGCTTCAAGGTGGTCCATAAATGGTCTTAGGTGGGCCATGCAGTTGTCTGTATTGGCTCTTGGGGGCTGTGCAGCTTCAAGGTGGTCCATATGTGCTCCTAGGTGGGCTCTGCAGTTGTTTGTATGGGCTCTTGGGGGCTGTGCAGCTTCAAGGTGGGCCCTGCAGTTGTCTGTATTGGCTCTTGGGGGCTGTTCAGCTTCAAGGTGGTCCATATGTGCTCCTAGGTGGGCTCTGCGGTTGTTTGTATGGGCTCTTGGGGGCTGTGCAGCTTCAAGGTGGTCCATAAATGGTCTTAGGTGGGCCCTGCAGTTGTCTGTATTGGCTGTTGGGGGCTGTGCAGCTTCAAGAAAGGTCCATTCCTGTCACTGCTGTGTCTGCAGGAGGTAGACTGAGTCGGACTCGGCGGCTTCAGGTATACCTCTTCTATGCTACATAAAAGTATACCTCTCCTATACTGCATACAAGTATACCTCTCCTATACTGCCTACAAGTATACCTCTCCTATACTGCATACAAGTATACCTCTCCTATACTGCATACAAGTATACCTCTCCTATACTGCCTACAAGTATACCTCTCCTATACTGCATACAAGTATACCTCTCCTATACTGCATACAAGTATACCTCTCCTATACTGCATACAAGTATACCTCTCCTATACTGCATACAAGTATACCTCTCCTATACTGCATACAAGTATACCTCTCCTTCGCTGCATACAAGTATACCTTCTCAGGAAGAAGTAGTGAGGAACACTCCCATTTATGCATCATCTCCTTAGAGTTGCCTAAAATATTACTTTTATTAAAACGTTATCACTTTATTGCCACCCATTACATTGTAGAGGGATAGTTATTAACCATCCCTCCCTCTAACTAATATTCCCAGTCACCAATTCCCATACTGAAGGGTGACTGGACATTGGGAACTGGTGCCTGGGAATATTAGAGAGAGAGAGAAAGTTAATAACTAAAGGAAAAAAAAAAGAAGAGCAAATGTGGGAATATGATGATGAAATAATAACGGATCTCCCTCTAAAATGTAACGGAGTAATTAAAGTGATAACGTTTTAATAAAAGGAAATGCAAGTTATGTTTTAGGCAACTCTAAGACGATGATGCATAAACGGTAGTGTGAGTCATATTTGTGGCTCATCTGATATACATTAAACCTCAGAAAGAGTGAACATTTAGAAAATAAATCTCCTGTAATGCTATAATATACATTGATGACAACGCTTGTACAAAAACTGAAGTACTGAGAAGGTAGGCTGTATGCATCGCACAGCTTCATTTTCAAATCTGGCAAGAGTATACTTTTAGGAAAGCTTAGACTTAAGGAATAATACCCTTACAGTTAAACAAAAAAAAAAACTCACCCTAACTGGAGGCCTTCCTATTGACTTTCGAAAAGGTGGCCTGCTCACCCTTGAACTCTGAAATTCTCCTGTTTCCTGGTGCGGAAGTACATAACAGCTGCTTGAAGGGTCACTTCAAAGGACAAAGGAAAGACTGTCAGCTTGGTGTAACTGATATATTTTACAGAAACACTAACACAAAGATAAGTGGTTAACCTTTGCAGAATGGAAATTGCATTACCACCAGAGCACGTTGGTAGACAAATAACAACTTAGTAAACTTATACCAAGGAGGGCCCAGTGTCTGCAGATGATGTCACATTCCAGTATTGCCGGTGATCATCGGTCTGTGCAGAGGGTTAACAACAAAGCTCTCAAGTGATGCAGAGCTCAGGGTTTCAGAAATGCCAGACAGGTCACTTTGATAGAATGGAGTATTCATTCTTCTGAACCCTCCACTTAAAGGACTAAAGGCCTGCATAGACTGGCATACAGTTTCTCATCAAAATAACAGTGTATGTGTTCTCACGGGACTTCATGACAGCAACTCCATTCAATGTATAACAAGCGTAATATTATTGATGTACAGCTGGTGCATGAGCAAAACAGATTTATGTGCATTGCTTTGCCCATGATACTAAAACGAGGAACCTTCCTCTTATTTTTTGGATTTGTAAATGGAAACAAGACATACAAGTACATTTTGCTTTAAGAAGGCTCTACTATGCATCGCACTGGTTTAACCTAGAGCTTTTCGGTTCCTTTTCACCAACCTTGTTCTTGTTGCTTCCCAAGCCTTACTACATAGAAATCATAGTTTCCATGCACTGCGTTGATGATGCCCAACAAACCTGAAACAGCTGCATGTAGTTTGGAATAAACAGCTATAAAATATTAGGCTGTATCTGTACTATGAACCAGATGTTCAGGATTTAGGCCTTGTTCACACCGAGCGCGGAGCAGGTGCAGAGCAGAGCAGTTGCAGACCGGATCAAAACTGCGTCCAATGTATTCCAATGGTATTTTTTGCTCCAGTTCACATCGCAGCGCTCCGTTCCAGAGCAGGTGAAAAAACTGCAGCAGGCCCTATTTTACCTGCTCTGGATCTGCAAACGCATCACAAACGCATGCAAATGCCTGGAACGCACTGAAAGCCCATTTTAAACTTTAAAAAAAAACAACAATTTTTAAAGCCAAAAACGCGTCTAAAAGACTAGCGTGCGTGTGCAGAAACCTGACCGGATCTGCTCTGCATTTGGTGTGAACAAGGCCTTACAGTTCACCAAGGGGAATACAGGAATGATCTGCATTATTCCAATCAGTATAACTTAAAGTGACATTAAACCCTCAGATTTTTTAACATAAACCAATACTGTAATGTGCACCTTACTGTAATCCATGGTAGTTTCCCTTCTCTTTGCCGCCCTTCCATTCACACCTAAGACCTAGTAACACTAACGAGTCACATGACACCGGTTTAGACATTAAGTGCTGTGTGTTGAGTTATTTTGAGGGGACAGCAAATGTACACTGATATACACGCTGTACACTCACTACTTTACATTGTAGCAAAGTGTAATTTCCTCTGTCGTCACATGAAATGATATAATAAATATTTATAAAAATTTGAGGGGTGTACTCACTTCTGTGAGATACTGTATATATACATACATACATACATACATATACACCCCAGCATTTGTCTTGTTCGCCTATGAGACAAATCTCTGCTGCAGACTGTAAGATCCAATGTATTGTACACATCTGCCTGGGCCTGTCTAATATAGACTTACAAATATACTGCAGGTTTCTAACGATAGATAGATAGATAGATAGAAAGATAGATAGATAGATCTACAAGGAGATAAGATATGTAGCCACCTTGTCCTAAGTGGAGTGACTACTTTCATTAGCTATTATTAGTTTATTTTATTAAACTCTGCTGAACTGTAAATGGCCTGAGCCACATTGATAGTGCTGTACTTATTTGGTCTCCCCTAAGCCCAGTGTTAGGCCCCATGCACACAGGCTGCCTGCGTTGAATGCAGGAGAAGTTATCTGAGAAATATTAATAACAATTATTTATGTTTAGTAATATAATATGTTTAGCCTGGAGCAGTGGCTACTTTACAACATTCATGGGGAACAAAGGTAGCCACCCTTCAGAAGGAAGAACAGTGTCAGCACCAATACAGAGATGATTTGAGGAGCTACAGCTGAGTGATATATAAATAAGATACATTTCTGTTAATAGTTAAGGTACTTGAATACATTTTTAAGATTTAACACCTGAGTTTAGTATCTTTAAATGAGCAATAAACCTTTGCTTTTGGGATTCGTGAAAGAAGACAGACACTTTCATAGGTTCTGCTGTTCTTCATAAATATTAAGTAAAAAAAAGTAAAACAATTAGGGTAATGCTTCTATAGACTAACATAAGCAATATAAATAAATGTAAATGTTATAAGAGTAAAGAAGAACTAAATAAGACCAACACTCAAGGTTGAGAGTTGTGTGTAGATGGATAGGACTAACCTGTCGCCATAGCTAATATCCGTAGTACCATTCTGTCCACTGTGTAATCTCTGTTTCCGCCTCCTCTCTATATCATGCCGCAAGTCATTTGGATCTTCAACCAATCTGTGACTATGACTCTAAGGGAAGAAAAAGATAATGAAATTGTATGTAAACCCAATCACTAAAATCACATATAACCTTTAACTTGTTGCTGTAAATGCAAAAGTCATTTTCAATATAAATCTGCAGCATTCATTCACCCTTAGGCTAGCTCTACACTGCTCTATTTTTTTCCTTTAACCCGCGGGCTGAACGAATATTTAGAGTAGATTCCTCCATCAACACTACGAGTGTATCGATCGAGGAATCCTGCTGTTGGCATTGCATTCCGACCACGGCCGCCGGCCACTGTCAGAATACCCAACCAGAGCCAGCAGCTCATTCACTGCCCACTCTGGTTGTATGAAGATTTTCCAGCCGGCTCCAGTTGATCGAGGGATGCCGGCTCAGAGGGTGCCGACAGCGGCATACACCGTGCGAATTTTGGCCAGTTCCTAAATAACCAGCCAAAATTCAGACAGTGAATAGGCACCCTAACTCAACCAGGGTTCTCTGGGAATCTGCGGCTCCTCCAGAAGTCGCTGGGGGTTTCTTGAGCAATTAATTCCTGCCTCTCAGATAAACTACTATTGACACCAATGAGCTTTTCAGCTATCTGTAAAGGGGCCATTCTTCTCACAGACCACTAATGTACTGTCAATGTAATGTCCCCCGCTGACCACCAATGTAAGGCTGGGCACACACCTTACAACCATCGCAAGACTTTTGTCTTGCGATGGTTGTAAGGTACTTAAAAAAAACGTACGATCTGCCTATCTTGCATAGGCAGATCGTAGTTGCGATGATCGCAAGCCACGCCCCCTGAGGGGCAGGCTTCCGATGACCGCAATGCCGAACGGGCAGTGTGCGCTTGCGCACAACAGCCCGTACGGCTTTTATCATACGGACATGCCACAAACCCGCCGAACATCGTACGATGCTCGGCGGGTTCTTGAACATGTCCGTAAGTTAAAAGTCGTGCGACCTTACAGTAGTAGAGGTCGCACGGCTTCCACACACCTTACGATAATCGTACGATCGCGGGATTTCCCACAATTATCGTACGATTATCGTAAGGTGTGTGGGGACCTTAAGGCCTTGTTCACACCAAATGCAGACCAGATCCAGTCAGGTTTCTGCACACACAGTGCAGTGGGTTGTGCCGCGTTTTAGACGCGTTTTTGATGCGTTTTTGATGCGTTTTTGATGCGTTCCAGACCAGATCCAGAGCAGGTAAAATAGGGCTTGCCGCAGTTTTTTCATCCGGTCTGGATCCGCATGCTGCGATGTGAACTGGAGGTCAAAATACCATAGGAATACATTGGACGCAGTTTTGATCCGGTTTGCACCTGCTCTGGTCCGGATCTGCTCCGCGCTTGGTGTGAACAAGGCCTAAAGCAAACCTTTTCCCACTGACCACCAATGTAAAGGGACTGCTTTCTCCCACTGACCCCCAATGTAAAGGGACCGCTTTCTCCCACTGACCAACAATGTAAAGCAACCCTTTTCCCACTGAGCACCAATGTACGAGTGCCCTGTTCCCACTGAGCACCAATGTAAGCGGGTAGTTCTTTCACTTACCCCTAATGTAAGTGGCCCATTTCCATTGACCTGCAATGTAACAGTGTCCTTCTCCCACTGACCACCAACCCCACATTTTTAACAGTGTGTGTTATTTTTCTAGACAATATTATAAATATATATGTTTAACAATATAACTAAAAATAATGTCTCCATACAGAAGCCCTCTGAGTGTCAAATTCACCAATTACTACTACTACAATTTCTAATGTCATGCTTTATTTCATTTGCCTAAAGGGCAAACTTCAGACATGCAAGGATGACATATAAAAAGCATAAGAAGTCACTCCGGCTTAGGTCATACACTGATGTCTAACCAGGTGCACAGGAAGAATCTTTGGGCAGGTTGACATTCTGAGTTAAGGAATGCACACCATGATATGCCTAATAGGAGATACTGTACGGTGTTATGTGCAGATAAAGTGAAGTACATGTGTCAGTCATACAACATGCTGACCAATTACCCTTACATTATTCCAGGGTGCTGTAGTGAGCAGTGGGGATGGCACCCACCATAGACTCTAGAAAATAATCCTTACTAGTGCACCTTCCTCTTAAACAAGGATTGCACTTTATTTCCTCATCAGAGAGGAAATAGCCCTAAACAACATTTTGGGATCTATCTTATTGTTTTCTTTGTGTACATAAACTCTCTGTTTTGCATCTCTATCCCTAAGCATTGACATATGCTGTGAATTTTAAAATAAAGCTGTACAGCTGTAAAGCTGTTAACAGAGGTATCCATCAAACATAAGCTATTTGTTTCTTCCTGTTATTCTTTCATACTGCCCAGACTGCTATGGGTGACTCAGACAGTTTCTGTTAATAAATGAGGTTGTACAGGTGAAACTCGAATAATTAGAATATCGTGCAAAGTTCATTTATTTCACTAATGCAACTTAAAAGGTGAAACTAATATATGAGATAGACTCATTACATGCAAAGCAAGATAATTCAAGCCGTGATTTGTCATAATTGTGATGATTATGGCTTACAGCTCATGAAAACCCCAAGAACCCCAAATCCACAACCTCAAAAAAGTAGATTATTACATGCAATCAATAAAACAAGGATTGTACATAGAACAATATCGGACCTCTGAAAAGTACAAGCATGCATATGTACTCAGTACTTGGTTTGGGCCCCTTTTGCAGCACTTACTGCAATTACTTGTGCACGATATTCTAATTATTCGAGTTTCACCTGTATGTGTTATTGCTTAAACTGGACAGGGCAGCTGGGCATTACAAACTAATCTAACCTCTGCACAATCAATTTCCCCCAAAGCTAACAAGCAAATACTCTACACCACACTTATCGCGGCATTCAGGTAGATGAAAATGATCCAATGGATGATATCTATGTAGGGAGATGTCCCCCAGGAGATAGAAGCCAATAGTATTTACATATTGTGAATGCTCATACACAATAACCTCACTATCATTAAGAATTGTCAATATCACAGTTACAGGACAGAGGCATGTAATCCCTACAGGTGCGTATACATGCAGGAGGTCCATTCTAGGTATTTTAGATAAGTAAGCAAGATAATATTTCTATGAGAGTGATAGAAAAATGTAAAAACACATGCAAACACTGCTTTCATTTAATAGGTGTGCATATATAAAACATAAATATACAGTACTGTGCAGACGTTTTAGGCCGGTGTGAACATTCTGTAAAGAATGCTTTCAGAAATAAAAGTATTAATAGTTTATTTTTAACAATTAACAAAATGGAAAGTAAATGAACAGAAGAGAAATCCAAATCAAATCAATATTTGGTGTGACCTCCCTTTGCCAACAAAACAGCATCAATTCTTCTAGCTACACTCGCACACAGTTTTTGAAGGAACTCAGCAAGTAGGTTGTTCCAAACATCCTGGAGAACTAACCACAGATTTTCTGTGGATGTCGGCTGCCTCAAATCCTTCTGTCTCTGCATGTAATCCCTGACAGACTCGATGTTGAGATCAGAGCTCTGTGGGGGCCAAATCATCACTGTATGCTGACCATAGTTCTTAATGACATTGGCTGTATGTTTGGGGCCAATCACATGCCTATCTAATAGTACGGCATGATGGATAAATATCTGTTTATATTTCTCAGCATTGAGGACTCCATTGATCCTGACCAAATCAACTTCATTAGCAAGGAACCTCCACCATACTTCACTGTTGCTACAGACACTCATTATTGTACCACTCTCTAGCCCTTCGCCGAACAAACTGCCCCCTGTGACAGCCAAATATTTCAAATTATGACTCATCCGTCCAGGGCACCTGCTGGGATTTTTCTGCACCCCAGTTCCTATGTTTTCATGCAAAGTTGAGTCGCTTAGCCTTAGGCCTGGCCTAAGTTTGCTTATATATATGTATATATATATATCTCAAATTGTGATGTCAGTTTTTTTCTTGTAAAAGTGCTGGCAGTCGGCTTTTCATGACCGTGCAGTCTCTTCTGTCATAGATCATGCGCAGCTCAGTGTACAGTCTCGGCACAATTCCCTGCTGAGGTGAAGTAACTCCGATGCATATGCATCATCCAGGCCTGGCTAATCAAGAGGCCAAAAACTTTAAACTTCCGAAGAAGGCTGGGAGCGCTGGTAATGAAGGAGAGTGTGAACATCGCAGTGTTGCAGGGGATTGCTTTTGCAGGTAAGATTGCCATATGAACATTATGGCTAAAAGTTCATGGGAGTCCTTTACTTTTTTTGAGAATTTACTTCTGCTTTAATTGTAAGATATTCTTTAATTTAATTCAGAAATATAATTGAAGAGGAAAGAGAGCTTACAGAGATGCGAGAGATAGAGCTCTCATGACTGTGAAAGATCAGTCGGTGTGCTTCGATTACACAGATGCTCAATATTTTATTGGTACTTACGGAGGCAACGTCCACTGTTTTGTGAAGAGATTTACTCTGAAGCTCTTCCAAAGAAATATCAATTCTCCTAAAAGAAAGAAAAAAAATAGTGAAGAACTATTGGCATTTATATACAGATACACAAATAAATCAAACAAATTAAATTGAAATTTCTCTTTCTGCTAATGACTTGTGCCCAAACATTGCTACCGCCATCAACAAAATCAAAACTGTGAAAATAAATAACCCCAATAAACAACGTTTATTCCATTACCCTGAAGCATCCCTATACTCAGGACGATACAGAATTTTGCAGTACAAATAGGATACTTTACACATTTTATAAAAATGTAAGAAAGTATGCCTTTGCTTTGACTGGAAAGAATGGGGGAGAAAATCAAGGTGGTAGGAGTGGAATGGGGGGGCATCTTACAGTAGACTATGTATACTTTTACATCAGTGCCTGAGATAAAACAGCTGTTTTACGACACAAACCAAGACTCGGCACTGGATATGTACATCATATACAAATTATAGATATACACACACACACAATATTAAAAGTGAACTATGGGGTAACCTTTCTATCCCATAGTTCTCTTTAGGGTCACGGGAGGACATATACTAACGTCCTCCCGTAACCCAAAGCTCAGTATATAGCAAGCTATATACTGAGAGCGCTGCAGCCCGGACGGATCCCGACAATACAATCCACCCAGCTGGCTGATTGACAGCGGGCTCTGCCTATCTAGAGGCAGAGCCAGCTGTGCCCGCCCCCTCCCATGTTCGTTCCTCCAGTCAGCGCTGGAGGATCGGAGAGGGGAAACCCTGCAGGGATCAGTGACTGACAGTCACCGCTCTCTGCAGGGAGATGATCGGGAAGTGAGCGAGTGGCGGTATGCGTTCGCTCACTTTACGAACAATATAGCCGACGTGTGACATTTTCAATGTTGCACGCCGGCTCTAACTATGAGCATGAGTGTAAATCACTTACCTCATAGTTCTCCTTTAAGGATCCATTGTTGGAGGCAGAGAGGAAAAGGTCAGATCTATGTTTGTACCTCCCCTGAATCTTGCACAATTTGTTAGAATCGGTCAAGAATGGCATTGATTTTTTTTTTTTTTACTGCTAAAAGCATTTAAATGCAAATAGGTAGGAAATTGTAGTAGTTGTATACCAAACTTTACAGTTCTACAGCCTAAGTTCAATTACTCCTCTATATTTTGTATTATTTATTGGTATTTATGTAGCCCCAACAATTTACACAGGGCTATACATGGAGCACATTTAAACTAGTCCCTGCCCTCAAGGAGCTTACAATCTAAGGTCCCTATCTCACATGCATACGTACAAGCTCTATTTATTGGTGGGTATTGTTATTTTATTTAAGCTTCTCTTTGTTAAAATATAGTAAACATTTCCTTTGTCTTAAATGTGGCAAATATATCTGAGAAAAAAAAATTTAAAATGTTTAACTAAAACTAGGCATCATTTAATAAACACTGCGAGAACAACTAAAGAAATACTGAGTCCACATTACAGAGCTGTAGCGTGTTCCACCGACCAGCTTACCTGTGAATCTCTGGATTGGTTTGCGGTGCAGTGTTAGTAAGTTTTAACTCTTGTTTACTGCTCTCTTCTTGCAGCTTGGTGAAGCGGTCATGAAGCGACATGCCAGCTGATCTGAAGTGGTTTGCTAGAAATGAAAGGGCAAAAATAATATAGAAACTCATTTTTTATTTCAGAACACGCTACATACTCAAACTTATGGGTTTATCTATAAAACTTCTGCCCAGCATATAGCTAGGCGGATGCTGTTCACATGGCACTATTGGACCTATATGGCACAGAGGAGTACAGGAAATTTCTATCCATGCAAGCAGAACACTAGGGCCCTGCAAAGGGAGGTTTTATAAATAAACCCACAAGTATTATAGTGTATGTACACCCTAACAATAAACTTCTCTTATTTGCTACCTTTTAGTCTGTTAAATATACCATTGAAAGTGTTTTGTTATATCGATTCCATAAGTGCAGCCAGAAATCTTCTCAACTGATATTAGTACAAAAAAAAAAAAGAAAAATGGCCAAGTACTTTATCCCCCTGAAATGGACAGACCCCTCTCCGGACCCTATATCCACGTGATCAGGGATGATGGAATTGTATCACCCGACACCCGGGACATGCAGTTCCAGGGGCCAAGCAGGTGTTTTGTTTTTATTTAGCCCTGCTGTGTGCAAGCCGTGGCCCCGGCCGCTGACGCTGCTGCTCTCCGCTGTCCATTTACAATATTGTACAATATTGACCCAAATCCGTGAACCCAGACATTCCACCAGGAATGACACATGATAGTATCATATTATGGACCTAGAGAGCCCTAACCTAATTTAAGGAAACTTTAAGAGTTCCCCTAGAACTTTTTGACTGAAAAAAGTTGCTTGTCAGACTATGAAATTTTAAACAAAATAACAAATCTATGAAAATATTTGTGTATAGTCTAATCCATCTCTACCCTGTAAGCATCCATGAATCAGCAGATGGTGGAATCAAGATTTACATTGACAACGCTGCTATATAACCATTACAACAGAAAAACAAATCAAGTTACATTTTAATATTGCATTTGGAACACAAAGCCTATATAGTTCTGGAAAAGAGAAACAAATATGTACAAGCCAAAAATCCATGGATCTGTGTGTATTCATGCAATTTGATTGAGTGCCATGTCTTCATTCAAAACAGTCCAGCAGCCCCAGATATTTTATTGTACTGCCCCATGTTTACGGTATTCTCTTCTATTATGAAGGTTTGTTACACAACTGGTTTGTTCATTTACAGGGATCCAAGAAAATATCTCATATGGTCTCATTCTCTTCTCTATTGCTGCTTTGGGTTCTGCTCTCTTTGTAACATTTTCTCAGGGTAAAGTATATATTAATGTTAATGTAAACGTTTGTTTGCTACCCTTAATGGGAAAACCTGCTACATGGAATCATTAAGTAGTACCTTTGACTTCATGAATGATGGTTATAATTTCCTTAGTAAATTCAGAATTTGGTGCATTAGTGGGACCCTGCAATGAAGGTTCTAGGTGTTCAAACACAGGATGGAACATCTCCTTTCCAGCAACAGCTACAAGATCATGAGACAGTTGTCTATCCTTGGAAGTAGCGTTGCCCCTGAAAAGGTGAAAATCGGATTAGAAACTTAAAACTTAGTTTTGTTGCAATGCATTTTTGACAAATGTAGTTAAAGAACTTCGAGAAAAATTATTCTTAACCCTTGCAGTGGGGCTCCCCCGCATTGCAAGGGTTAAGTGCTCATTTTCGTCTAGGCTGTCAAATAACAAAGTTATACTCGCCTAAACCACGGAGCCGGCTGGCCACTCTTTCCAGCCTCTCTCCCCCTCCATTCCAGCAGTCTAAGGATCCTTGAGTCATCATGTCTAATACACTGTGTATAGGATGTGAGGATGCCGAGGGACATTCTATCGCTGCCACGGAGGAGACAGGCTGGAGGAAACAGTCTAGGAGCCAGCTGGTCCAAGGGTTCGGGTCAGTATAATGTTTTTTTTTATTCTACACCCTGGATGAAAACAAGCACTTAACTCTTGCAGTGTGGGGGTAGTCCCAGAGTTCTTCTTTAAGTGCTGGGACCACTTCACCCAAAATGGTTAACTTAGTTATATGGTGCCTGGAGAGCTGCATCATCCCTGAGCTCAGTAGAGTAGTACTAGAACTACTAGATTAGTACTCAGTAGTACTAATAATACGCTCTATTCTTCATAGTTCTTGGCTTTGGGCCCCTTCTGCTGTTGCATTCTCCTTAAAGTGAATCCAGATCAAACAAATATACCTTAACCAGCAAAGCATTGCTTTACTTTTTTGCCCAAACACCTACAATCCTGTTTAACAGCTGCTTCCAAGTCTCTCAGCTTAGATTACCTGAACTTCTTGTCCAGTACAATATCACAAAGCACAGTGCATACTCCAGCAACTGTTCATCTACTAGCTTGGAGAAGGGAGGAGAGGGGGCTAGGGGGGTGGGAAGTAGCTTGATTTGCTGTGTCTGGGTGTCTGTGGAGACACATACAGCTTACTAGCACATACAAGGGTGACTGCATAGCATTCTGCTTGACAAAGGAGTCACTCTAAAACAGGAAGTCAGGACCAGTGCTTAAATATCAAGAAGCACCATTTATTGTAAGTGATTTGATAAGCAAATGGCTTAAAATCCTTTTGACTTTAATATCATATTAAGGCCTCATTCACACAGCTAAGAGTCGGCCCGTACGGATTTGTGCGGCATACATGGCCGTATTGGGCCGCTCCCGGAAAGGTGCTGCGTGTGATTGTACGCAGCAGCCTGTTCTTCTTTATGGGACGCAGCCGTACGCTCACCCGAGCTGCACATCCTTGGAGATGTCCGTACTCGTACGCAGAAAGGATGGATCCTGTCTGCGTCCGAGCGCGGACACCTGCGCGTATGTGCAGCTCAGGTGAGCGTACGGCGGCGTCCTCCCATAGGAAAGAACAGGCTGCTGCGTACAATCACATGCATCATCCATGTCATGTCCTTCCCAGTAACGGCCCGATACAGCTGTGCACGCCGCACGGATCTGCATGGGCCAACTCTTAGCTGTGTGAATGAGGCCCAAGGGATAATATATGAAAAAATTAATTTAGCAGTGGTAGTGATAGCCTCTTTCAAATGCTGCCGCAGGTGGATAGACCTGAGAATGGAGGTGAAGAAGACTGAAACCACTGTTGAGCGACTGAAAATAAAATGGGTATGTTGCGCAGATCAACAAACTAAAATTGACTGCTAATGTAAAAGCACAAAAAGTGGTACCTTTTTTGCATATCCCCAACTATAATCTGCTTCTCCTGTGAAATTCCCAGTCCTTGGGTGGTGTTAGATGGTGAAGGCAGGTGTTTGGGTTTGTTCCTTTGCTCGTGAGGCTGTCTAGAAAACAGACAAAGCCCATGACCTCTGAAATTCTGCTACAAATTTTAATAAACAGGTGTCTACAGCATAACATAAAGCAAACTGAAGTAAAATGTGCTGCAGATGGTATTTATGGATAGAACATGGTTACAAAGACTACAGAACATAGCTATGGAGACATGGAAAAGCTTACAGAATTCAAAATATTGTCAAAAGCTAGAAAAATTTTATAACTTCAGGTTAGCAAAAATATGATTTTTAGAATTTATATGATGTGTTTATGAACAGACTGATTTGTTTAAGACGTTGGCTCACAACCTGTTACCCTATGGAACTTTTGCTGGACTTACTTAATTCCACTGTTAACAAACTCTGCCATGTAATAAGAATTGGAAGAAACAACGTAAATTTTCCACGGCAGAATTTTCAAGGCAGGTCATTTTTAGGCAATAATTATAACCAAAATGTACATAGGCTTCTAACTGGAAGTTAGACTCAGCAATGTTCCAGTATCAAACAATTTACTGGCAGCATATGGAAGATTTGGCATCCAGTGATAAATAAACTGTAAATTACACGAAGAATTGTTCCATTAGATAAATCAAAACTATGAGACCAACCCTTTAAACAATAGTTACAACATATACATGTTTAATGATTAAGGAGTTTGTAACACAGAAACAACTACTTACACGGTCACCAGTTCTTGCTCTTTCAGGTAAGAAACAGGATCCAAATTGTTGATGTAAATTTACATGGCAACATATGAAGCCAAGTAATCAAATACTATATTAGGAATTTTCTTGGATTACATGTTTCAGTGGTGGTGGAATCGGCATATTAGATTATTTCCTGCTCTATCAAAAACTTGTGAGGTGAGAAAAATTTCATGCGACTTTCCATGCAGACTTGTTTACTAGAGATAGGGCCATCATCTATGAATATAGTATTGCAATGCTGATGTCCAGTTTGAAAATCTTAAATTTCTTCAGTTATACTCTATTCTCTTTCTTTTTTTTTTTTCAATATCCGTCAATCTGGCATTTTAGATCTTGGATTCTTTTTTTTTTATTCTAAAGACCACGCCTTTGTATTGATATAAAAACGTGAAGTCAAATGATGTCTCACTTGTTCCAGTGTTATTATTAGATTTAAAGTCAATAGAAAACTCAAAAGGATAGGTCATTTCCATTCAATCCAGCTTTCTTTTCCATGTGCTCTGTAAACAGGTTCCTCCCAGTCATGGTATTTAGGGTTTTTTAACGAGTGACAAAATCTTAAAGGCATTTGTTAGACACTTATCCAATAGACACTTATCTACAACAAATAAGGACATCAGCTAGTTGGACAGAGTTCAAGCAGCTGAAAAAGTGTAGAGAACCAATTTCCTCTTAACTAACATGGGCAGATCTCATTGAACCAAAACTCACTTGATTTCAGCACTTCTAATTTGCTTTAATAAGGAACTTGCTGTAATCCAAAATACTTAAGGTTACAACAAATATGAGGACAATTGGCAAGATCAGCAGATTTCAGTCAGTTCAAAGCAGCAATTTCTTCTTCTCAGACATGGTTTTGCCCATCATCCAAATCTTATTTGACGGCATGGCGGAAATAAATAAGGTAATTAACATTGATGACCGTATGAAAGATATAATCTTGTTTTTAGAAGAATATATGTTTCCAGATATTACAGAGAATATGATTGACATAGGCCAAGATTTATGTTCCAGTAAAGTCCACCCCATGGAAACTTTTGTAAAATTCCCCCTTTTCTTTGGGGAATAAAAACAACGTTTATCCAATCATCAAATCTTCAATTTGCTTTCCAAAGGTTAATTGGAGTGTGAAGTCATTGGGCGCGTAAACCATTCCCAAATATGTTTTCCGCGAAAAAATATTAGCCTTGGATGAAGACTGTTCATATGATCCGCATGGCACGTCATGTATGAAGGGGGCATGACCTTTTAAGTAAATATTAAGACGTTCTTCTTTTTCATTTTAACTAGCTTGATAGACTTTGATTTTCTTTTTCAACGCAGATTATGCTTCGTTCTTTTACAATGATACCCACTTTCTGTCGATAGTTCAGATTTATTATGTTTCACCGCTACAGTGCCACCACTCACTGAATTTTGATCCATGTGCGAAAATTTCTGCATTGCGCCAGCATATTTTAAAACCTGTGATATTTCACCCGCTGTCACAGGAGTAAAGAAGCATGAACTTTTACCTCAGCCTCACAGAAAACCCAAGAAAAAGAAATCAAGAATGGGATTAAGCAAAAACAATACCTATACTTATCCGATGATTTCTTCAAAGCCAAATTAACAACGATAGATTCCTTTTCAGAAGTGATCTTCAAAACACCTTTGGGATCTGGAGTTTGTGAACTTTCCAGATGGAGTGGAGAAGGTGGATTCTTCTGGTATTCATCTTCTTTGGTCCTCTGGTAATCACCTTCCTTTCTTGTCTTTTCCTTGTGCTTATGGGTTGCATACTTCATGTCAATGCTATTTTTGGAAACTGTATTATCATCATGGTTTTTTGAACTATATCTAGACAATGGCTCCAAAGACCTATTGTCATACCTCCTCCTTTCTCCGATATCGCTATCTGATGTTCTGTGGTATTGAGAACTCCTGGTAGATTCGTTTTTTCTCTCTTCATGCCTGCTTTGCCTCTCAGAATGGTTGTGCCTTTCAACATATTCATCTTCCAAAATAAGCTTAGTATATACATATGTTGGTGATCTATGACTAGAGTCATATTCAATTTTGGTTAAGGCTCCTGAATGTTTCTCATGAACAAATGGAGTAGGACCTTTGTAATCTGCATCCTTTGACCAATCTTTGGCATTGTACGGTCGTTCTGGATGGTCACCTTTCCAGTGAGAACTTTTCAAAGGTGATCGGAAGTCTTGCTGTTCTACTTCTCTGGCTCTCTTATGAAGTGGCTCATGTTCTCTGTAATCATCCTCAGGATACCTATTTACACAAACCATCATTACATTTGTGAGCAGAATTAACAAAGATAATTCAGCGTCTATATTTCATCAAATATGGCTAGAAGGAAATAGCTATGTGTATATGTTACCTCTTCTGAAATGACTTTCTTTCATGTTCTTCAGGTCTTCTTCTATGAGGTGACAAATACTGGTTTTCTGGATCATGCTGGTTCCAATGGTCATCACTTTTATGCCAGCCCTTATTATAGCCTCTATTGTATGGTCTTTGAAAGTTGTCCTCACGTCTTGCTGCTTTAAAGCCGTTATTATGTACATTGTTATTATTACCATTTCTTTCGTGATTTCTGTGGTTATGGAAGTTTCTAGTATTTCCTCTGTAATTTGTGTCTTCGGGACATTTTGGTGGGAATCTTCTATTGCTTTCTTCTCTTCGCTCAGGAGAGTAGGCTCTCTTCAGTCGATTTATTGCCTCGAATGGGGATCTTCTTTGATTGGTGTCAAACGAACCGTGTTCAAAGAAATTATCACTAAAGTGGCTGTAGGATTCAGTTCTGCAATTACTCTGCCTATGCTGCTCGTCCTCCCAGTGTTTGGATCTTCTTGAGTCTCTATGGAAGTCATCATTATTGTGGTAAGGATCTTGGATGTTTCTATGTCTGTTGCGTTCTGGGCTTCTCTCCAGTGGAATTCTACAAAAAGAAAAAGTATTATTAAGGCATTAGTTCCCCTGAAAGTGTTGACATTTACTATGTTATATATAGTTCCTTAGTAACTGAAGATAGTGTGCAGACTCTATATAAGCAGAAAGACAGAGAAACGGTATTAAATATGCCTAAATGGGGGATCCACCTTAAACTACCCAGGAACTTGGAATGAAGAAACCCCCACTTTAGGTGTGTCCATCATAAAAGGTACTCTGTTGTCAGCTGAAATTCCTGCTTCATCTCTCCAAGGTACAATCTTAATATATTACTACAGAGAATTCACTTGGGGGCCTTGAATTCAAATTCTGAATCATTCTGGTTATATTTTCCTCTAAAGATCTAACAGGGTGGCTATGTTGCTTAAGTTAAGGCTGAACAAACAAACAGAAATTATTTTCCCATTTATAATATAATCCTTGTTATCAGGAACCCCAGTGTTAGCTCACATTTCCCAGATTGAAAACCTTAAGCAGTTTTTGTAATGCCTATTAAGAGCACTGAAATAATAGTGATGTGATATGTAATTGGTTATGACAGCTACCACCTGGCCCAATATTAGGAATGTAAATGCACACAGCGGATGACCCCAGAGAATGTATTACAAAATTCAACCATATTTACTGATCAGCAGATGGTCCACTGCATATAAGATGTAAGGAATCCCAGGGGTGTCCTGTCACTATGCACTGTACACACAAATAAAAGCATTGCTCATATTTACCTGGGCTTCCACCTGGGGGACCTCGAAAGTGATTTTGCCATCTTCTATATTCTGACCTGAAAAAAAAAGGTCTTTAATATTTATGACTAAATAACTATACAGTGAGGGAGCTTTAAAGAACATACATTATAGAATAATATAAAAATTAAAGTAAATATATTTTTTTTATGGGTCATGTACATTGATTATGTAGGCAGGATAAATAATAAATGTTAGTAGGCACAGAAATACGCCATGCTATATCTCAGCACAGTAAAAGAAAAATACCTAGGGATGCATCGATACCGATACTAGCATTTTCATGAGTACTCGTACTTGTGTAAATGCCCCAATAATGAAAGCCAATACCAGCGTTTTAAATGGTTCCGGCTGCCATAAGGTCCTGCGCTTGTGGGGACACCATGGCATCTGTATACAGTGCCGGTGGACACACATCTCAGGGGTGTGGAAATTTTTGAAAAAACTACTTGTCCAAGGGCTAATGCGGGGGCCAAATCTACTTGTCCTTCATAACAATCTACTTGTCCCAATACAAAAAAAAATAGTTTTAATTAAAACTAGGGATGCACCAATACCGGTTTTTGGGTATAGAGTACCGATATTTTGCTTTCGGTACTCACAGATTATTGGTGCTTCCGTTTGCATGGAGCAGGCTTCCCGGCAATCAGGAAGCCGGGCAGCAGGTAATGAGATGCATTATAACTTTTTTCCCCCCCCCCCACACCTAATTTTATTCCTATCACATAGGGATTTAAAATCCTCTAAGTGATAGTTTGGAGGTGACAAGTTCTTTTTATGGAACCTGCCCTCCAACACAGAACTTATGTTCTGTGTAGTTCCTGACAGCTGAGACAGGTGACCTCAGTTTTTCGTCTGCTCTATGGTGAGCTCATGTTCCGTGGTTTCGGGTCCGCTAGAGGAGCTGGGGGGGCTGGGGTGGCGGTGTGGACAGAATCGCTGCCTCTCGTTTCATACAAGTGATCAGATCACTTGAAAACGAGTGGCGGCTCCACACTGCACACTTAGCTCTGCTTGTCCGGAGCGGGGCTAAGTGTACAAAAAAACTATTCGCCCGGCGCCCGAAACTGCATGTCCCGGGCGTCGGGCGATAGGAATTCCACACCCCTGCATCTACCACCTCCTGGGATGAACTGACTGCGGGACCAGCCTGGAGAGGCACCCAGACAACATCATGCAGCCCCCTTCAAGGAAGGTAAAACTGGGGGGAGGGCCAGAGATGGCGGGGGCACTAATCGGGGGAGGCAGAGATGGTGGGAGCACAGGTCGGGGGGGTGGATAAGGTGTGGTGCAGAGATGGGCAAGGGAGAGCAGAGATAGTGGGGGCAGCTACTCTGGGTACAGCAGTTCCACTCTTGAGATCTGCAGAGCATTCCTCCTCTTCTCAGCCATGGTACATTATCTGACTGCAGAGCATTCCTCCTCATGCTGGCCATGGTACATTATCTGACTGCAGAGGGGCAGACCCCACTGACCTCATCCTGACGTCTTAGCTTGTAAAAGGAAGGAACTTAACGCTACTTGTCGGCTGTTTTAAAATTATATGAGAGTAGATATACACTATATTGCCAAAAGTATTGGGATACCTGCCTTAAACGCACATGGACTTTAATGGCATCCCAGCCTTAGTCCGTAGGGTTCAATATTAAGTTGGCCCGTCCTTTGAAGCTATAACAGCTTCAACTCTTCTGGGAAGGCGTCCACAAGGTTTAGGAGTGTGTCTATGGGAATGTTTGACCATTCTTCCAAAAGGGCATTTGTGAGGTCAGGTACTCATGTTGGATGAGAAGGCCTGGCTTGCAGCTCTAATTCATCCCAAAGGTGTTCTATCGGGTTGAGGTCAGGACTCTGTGCAGGCCAGTCAAGTACGGAGGACCCCAAACTCACTCATCCGTGTCCTTATGGACCTTGCTTTGTGCACTGGTGTGCAGTCATGTTCGAACAACAAGGGGCCATCCCCAAACTGTTCCTACAAAGTTGGGAGCATGAAATTGTCCGAAATGTCTCGGCGGCCGATATATCGGTGCATCCCTAATGATACAGTTGTTAAAAGATCCATATACCCTTAAAATTACTTTTAGGCTATAAATATAAAATGACAGTGGTATTTACTCTGGCTGTGCTATTTTCTGACTCCACCGGGCTCAGAGCCATAGGAATCCTCTACTGATGTTATCACGACCCTGAAGGCATTTGCTGATATCACTGACAAACTGGAAGAACAGACATTTAACTGGGTGGCTGCTTTATCAATTCAGCTAAATTCAAGGAGGAAATTAATGAAAGCCTGCTTAAAGTGTATTTCCACATTTGCAGCCAAATTCAGACAACACCTAATTTATATTTGTAACATGTTTCTCATTCACGTAGCATAAAACTTAAAAAAACAAACAAAAACCCCCCAATAAACTGCTGCTTGAATAAAACGTAATCAATTCTCAAAAGTTTTTCTCTGTACTTAATTCTCCTCTGGAATGCAGGGGCGTGCAGGAGGGTAATGTTTAGGGCAATTAACCCCGTCTGTACTGTGCTGGCAGATTTCATCATCAGCTGTAAACTACATTTGAACACAGCCTATCCTAACAAAGGGTTAAAGGACAACTATGAGGCGAGTGAAAATCACTTATCCTCATAGTTTGAGCCTACGTGTGACAATGAAACTGCCACACGTCATCTCAATAGATGGGGAAGTGAGCAAACACATACTGTCGCTCGCTCACTTCTCGATCATCTCCCTGCAGAGAGCCGTGACTGTCGGTCACCACTCCCTGCACGGATTCCCCGTTCCGATCCTCCAGCGCTGACTGGTGGAATGGACGGGGGAGGGGGCGTGCTCTAGATAGGCAGAGCCAGCTGTCACTCACGCAGCTGGGTGGATCTTGACAGTAATATCGGGATCCGTCCTGGCTGCGGCAGTCTCAGTATACCGCGAGCTGTATTTCGTGATATACTGAGCTTTGAGTCACGGGAGGATGCTAGTTCATGTCCTCCCGTGACCCTTAAGAGAACTATGGGGAAAAACACTTACCCCATAGTTCTCTTTTAAAGATCTACAGGGTTATTCACAAAAGGGAGAAGAGTTTGGAGAAGGCAGGAGAAGTGAACAATCTAGGACAACATAGCTGAACTGCAAAGTGATCTGAATTGGAGAATGTTTCCAAATCAGCTATTTTGGTCTAGATTGTTCACTTCTCCTGCCTTCTCCAAACTCTTCCTTTTGTGAATAGCCCTGTTAGAAGTTTGGCTTCTTTCATTGTATGTTAATGAGGGGAAACTCAGTCTGTCCCTAGTCTTTCTATTAGGCGAGTCAGTTTCCTCTTACTGAAATTAAACCACAGAAGCTTGCAAAGGCCTGCAACAGAGACACATCTAAAAAGGAAAGACTATAGTGTAAATACACTTAAAAAAAGATGAACGTTAACCCTTTCAGTAGGGCTACCCCCGCACTGCAAACGTCAAGTGCTCTTTTCGTCTAAGGCCTAAAATAACAAAGGTATAGTCACCCAAACCTCGGTCCTGCTTGGCTGCTAGACCGATCTCCGCAGCCTCTTCCCCCCCTGGGCTGCAGCAGTATAAGGACCTTTGACGTCACCACATACATTGACTTGCATTGGACATGAGGATGCTGAGAGACATACCACAGTCACAGTTGTCCACTGCAAGACTGTTGATCAAGCTGTTAACCCTTGCAGTGTGGGGGGTAGCCCCACAGCAAGGGTTACATTTTAATATGCCTGGAGTTTTTTTCTTTAAAGAAAGTACCCAAACTTTTCTTGTCAGAATGGCCAGGAATTCAGGTACTGCAGGTATGAAAAGGCACCCCTAGAGTACTTTATACTTGCAGTGACTTTTGCATTTAGTTTTCTCTGTCATGAGACAGGGAATCCCGAACTGTATTTCCACTTCTCTAGTCAAATTTGAGAAAACCCCACTATGTGTTTATGATATGTTCCTATTCACACAGCATATCTAAAAATATTTTTTTTAAAAACCATATTTCTTACCTTTTATCTTTGTCTTTTAAGGAGGCTCTTGGCCAGACTGCAAGCTATTCTGAACAGTTTGCAGGCAAGTCAGTTCCAAAGGCAGAGGGGCAGACTGCACTTCCTCTCATTAGCATAATATTTAGCATTATACAATGCTTAAACCCTTGGTTAGAACAGACAGTGTTGAAATCTAGTTTACAAATTGATGAGATCTGCCAGCACAGTATAGACAGGGTTAATTATGGCAAATATGTCCCCACCCAGCCAAAGTCCTCCTTGAAATTACAGAGAATGGAAAAACATCAGTTTTGCACAGAAAGAGCAAATACCAATTTAAATTAATCAGTCATGCAATGTGAATAGGAAATATAAATAAAATAGGTGTTAGCCCAATCTGGCTGCAAAAGTGGAGATACACTTAAAAAGCTCAGAATGAACAGTCTGCATGCAGTGTAATCCAAAAGTAGTTCACTGCAGTTCAGTCAAGAGCCAATTCACAAAACAGTTTTTTCTTCATTTTGGCCAATATTATAATGACATCACGTTGTCGTTGTTGTGTAACAGCAGCAAACTCACAAATCACAATAATACTTGTTATCTTGCACAATTAGATCTGTTGTGGCTGTAATTTTATAAGCAAGATGATTAAACATAGTTAAAATGCATTTCACATAGAGAAATTCACCTTTCAGCACTTGTTAATGAGGTGTAGAATTATCACTTCCCCCAGGGTAGTGTTATGGAAGTATCTGATGCCTGATGCACTGCGGTGAAGTTAGCCCGCTATTTGCTGACTTTGGGTCACAGGAGTATATTAGTAAATGTACTCCTGTGACCCAAAAGAGAAGTAATGCCCAAAAAGATGTTTTTTTGTTTCTGTAAAAAAAAAAGTATTCCTATTTAACCCCCTGTTAACCCTAATCAACCCTAAATAACTCCTTCCCCACAGCTTTTTTTTTTTTAACTTCTTTACTTTTTACCATTAATATTTTTTTAAATTTGGTTTTCATTCATTTTGTTCCTTTATTTTTAGTGATGCATAACAAGAAAATGTGCAAAATGACGAAAATTGCAAAAAAACTTTGCCTTAGTACCAGAAACATCATTTTAGTGTCCAACTTACAGAATCGAATGTATGCTTTTTATTTACAATAAAACTACTTTAAAAAACAGAAAAAAACTTTTCTTCTCTTCAATTACATATAATATTTTTTGCAAAAATATTTGTCAAAAAATAACCTGGGTTCTTAAAAACACAAACACAACAACAACATTGTATGTATTACTTTATCTTAAAGAAGAACTCTGGGCAGAAAAAAAACCCTTGCAGTGGGGCTACCTCTGCACTACATGGTTTAAGCGCTTATTTTCATCGAGGGTGCAAAATAACTGAAGATATACTCCCTCGATCCTTGGTCCCTCCTGGCTGCAAGACCTAGCCCCTCCGCCTCCCTCTCCGCACCAGCGGTGGAATGTCCCGCTGCATCCTATACACTGTATTAGACATGATGACACCCGTGTCATCTTAGACCGCCAGAACATAGGGGAAGAAAGAGGCTGCAGGGACCGAGGTTCATGTGAGTACATCTTTGTTATTTTACACCCTAGATGGAAACAAGCACTTAACTCTTGCAATGTGGGGGTAGCCCCACTGCAAAGGTTAAGTTTTAATCTGCCCGGAGTTCTTCTTTAAGTAACGACAACGTTATTGCCTAATAGGCCCATAACGAAATGTTAAAAAAAAGAAAACTAATGCAGCCACCACATCCAACACTTGGTAAGCTGCAATATCTTCCATTTTTGGGTTTAGATACATTTTGTTTTACCTGCCAAAATGGGCGTTCTATATATTTCTGTCCATCCAGTACTGAGATTTAGGGCTCATTCACACCGGTTGCTGTGACTGGTGTTTTACCCTACTGGATTACCACCAGTTACCACAAGGGCACACAGAAAACAATTATTTTCTATGTGCCATATTCACATCACAATGCTGGTGTGGTGCAGAAAAATGCAGACATGTTGCATTGGTGGTCAGTTTTAATGTGCGTGCGGCTGGAAGCGGTGTTACGCGGCACTGTTTACTTTTCTTTTATTGAAAGTGTACATCCATTCAGGTCTCCAAACAGCAGAGCGGTGTGGTGCTCTGCGGTGATCTCCAGTGCGCTGTGGAAAAAGACAGCATTTTTCAGCACTGCGCATCATGCCAATGTTGCTGTGTGAACGGGGCACATAGAATAGAATTGTTTTCTGTATGCCCTTGCCATGACTGGTGTGGATCAACTGCAGAAAAACACTAGTCATCTCAACCGGGGTGAACGAGCCCTTACACAGTTCTGCCACACTGCACAGTCCTGCCTGGCAGGGTAGTAAGCCTGATTTTTCTTTGCTGCAGTTTCACATAGAAACAGCACATTGATGAGCTGTCAATTTGCGCTCTCCTTCTATCAGCATGCTCACTGCACTGCAACTACCAGATTAGCTCCTTGTGCTGCTGTTCCCTCCCTCACTCTAAACTTTGCTGTATAGGGACTGCAACAGGCCGATATCAAGTCAGATTCAGGTATTTATGCCGGTTGCATTTTTAAAAAAAAGGATATATTCATGATTACAGAGCTACATTAATGTATATTTTGAGTTCAGCTGCAAATCATTTTAGGCTTGATTCACACCGAATGCATTGAGGCTGCGCGGGCTGTTATTTCCAGAGCAGCCGCAACACAAAGACAAAGCAACGTGGCTTGTCACAGATGGTAAAAATTCACACTGCCGTGCGTTGTGGTGGTGTGCACTGAATTGTAGCGTAGCAGCCAGTGTGAATGCAGACTTACTCCCAAAAAGAAAGGTCAGCATTTGTACTATTAGGGCTCGCTATCACCGGCGCAAAGGCCTGTACAGCGTGAATGAAGAGTTTATGCAACCTGGAGGTACCTGGGAGTATAGGTGTCTCTGCCTGCAGCTACGGCAGTCATCCTGTCAAAATCAATGGCAGACTGAGACACTGTAGCTGTACATATTGTCCCGCACATCGCAGCGTGGAACTGCACGCAGGCACGGATGTACGCTATGGATGCAGGCAGTCTGCGTCCATTGGATTACATCCATGCCTACACACATTTCCATGCTGGGATTTGAAGGGAGATCCGTACAGCCACAGCATCTCTCAGCCTGCTATTCTATTGTGCACGCAGACACCTGTACTCCTGGGAGCCTCCCAATCGCACAAACAAGGGCCTCATCCGTGCTGTACAGGCCTCTGTACCAGTGTGAACGATGTGTGCATTAAAACACAGAAATGTCTGAAGTCTAAAATAAAATGTCTTACCTGCGTTGACAGGCAATGTACCAGTGTACCAGGTGCCAAGGTGCCCAGCAGAGAATGAACTTCCTTCATCGGGACGTAGTGTGCTGCCTTAGTCTTTAGCTATTCAGTCAGCATGCCAGGGACAGGAACTCCACAGAGGCCTTGTGTTCTCTTAGCACAGCCTATAGAAAAGAATAATAAGAGTAATTTAACAACAGGGAATATTTCTCTTTAAAACAACAACTGTTTATACTGTGTGAGTAGAGCACTGTGCTCTGAACTGGGTAGATCAGGAGTTAGGAAAGATGTGAGGTAGATACGAGAAGGTTTTCATCTGCATGAAAAGCTGCGGACCTTGCAACACCCCTTTCTTTTTGACTAGAACAAACATGTCCTTTCTTAGCATGGAAAGAAATTTGTAATGACACGGAGTTACAGTGCATTCAGAAAAGTACTCAGATCCCCTTCACTTTCAATTTTATGTTGCAGCCTGATACCCTGTTTCCCCAAAAATAAGACCAACCCCGAAAATAAGACCTAGTTTTGACCATTCCCAGGGCCGGTGGTGGCATAAAGGGGAACTTGAAGAGCCCGGAAGAGAATCAGCGGTGCCAATGAAGCAAGCGCCGCATAAGCCGATGCTTCCTCTATAGTGCTGGCTGTGAGGAATCGATAGTGAAAGTGCGCTTCGCTCATTCTGGCCAGAGATTGGTTACCAAATTGCTCTTGGAAAGGTACGGCACCCCTGATTGCCCTGATCACCCTATTCTTAACTTTGCCATTTTGGATGATTTAATTAGGATTTGCGTTAACTTTGGATTGTTATAAATAAGATCAAGTGTGTTTTTTTGAGCCAAAAAAATATAAGACAGTGTCTTATTTTCGGGGAAACACGGTACTCAGACATCCCAACTCTCACGGAGTCTACCGGTGGCCGGGAGATAAACATTTTCTCCCGGAAAGGTTTACTCTACTATATCTAGCAGAGTAAACCTTTCTCTGCGATCTGAAATCAGAATTTTAGGAATGTTTGCAAATGTATAAAAAAAGGGAAAAAAAAACTGAGATATCACATTAGTATAAGTATTCACCCTTTGCAACAACACTTGAACTTTAGCTCAGGTGCCTCCCATTTCTCTTAATCGTTGCCAAGATGTTTCTTCACCTTGATTGCACTCTACCGGTGGTAAATTAATTGGACATGATTTGGAAAGGCACACACCTCTCTATAAAAGGCCTCACAGCTGACAATGCATACTGTATCAAAGCAAACGCCATGAGGTCACAGGTACGGAGGCAGGATTATTTCAAGGCACAGATCTGGGGTAGGTTACAAAAACATTTCTGCTGCACTTAAGGTTCACAAGAGCACAGTGGCCTCCATAATTCTCAAATGGAAGAAGTTTGGCACAACCAGGACTCTTCCACAAGCTGGTCGCCCGCCCAACCTGAGAACTCGGGGGAGAAGGTCCTTATTAAAGAGAGGTAACCAGAACCCGATGGTCACTCTGATTGAGCTCCAGAGATCCTGTGTGAAGAGCCCGGAACAAAGTTCCAGAAGGACAACCATCCCTGCAGCCCTCCACCAATCTGGCCTTTATGGCAGAGTGGCTAGAAGAAAGCCTCTGCTCAGTGCAAAACACATGAAAGCCAGCTTGGAATTTACAAAAAAGCAACTGAAGGACTCTCAGTCCGTGAGGAACAAGATTCTCTGGTCTGATGAAACCAAGATTGAACCGCTTGGTCTTAATTCTAAACGTTATGTCTGAAAGAAACCAGTCACCGTTCATTACCCGCCCAATACCATCCCAACAGTGAAGCATGGTGGTGGCAGCATCATGCTGTGGGGGTGTTTTTCAGCAGCAGGGACTGGGAGACTGGTCAGGGTTGAGGGAAAGCTGAATGTAGCAAAGTACAGAGATATCCTCACTCAATGAAAGCAGCTCTTCGGACCTCAGACCTGGCCGAAGGTTCACCTTCCAACATGAAAGTGATCCTAAGCACACAGCCAAGACAACACAGGGGTGGCTTAGGGACAACTCTGTGAATTTCCTAGAGTGGCCCAGCCAGAGCCCTGACTTGAACCCTATTGAACATCTCTGGAGAGACCTGAAAATGGCTGTCCATCGATGTTCCCCATCCAAACTGACTGAGCTCAAGAGGATTTGCAAAAAAGAATGGCAGAAAATTCCCCAATCCAGGAGTGCAAAGTTGTCGTGTCATACTCAAAAAGACTCCAGGCTGTAATTGCTGACAAAGGTGCTTCACCAAAGTACTGAGTAAAGGGTCTGAATACTTAAGTACATGTGATATTTCAGTTTTTTCGATTTCAAAAATTGTATTTGTTTTATAAACATCCATATACAAGACATATATCGACATCAATAGTCTGCAAGGATAGACATAATCTATATCCGTATCACCCTGCTGACCCTCCCCACCACCTACCTTTTAACAAACAATACAATATAACTATAAAACCAAACAAAAAACTAACAAAACCTCAAGGCTAGCAAACAAACAAAAAAGACAGAGAAGAAAAAAAAGAAGGGGGGACAAGACACCAAAATCATTTCTACAGGAGCATCAAACTTTCTACTGAGATTGTTGGATGGGCATATTTAATCCAAGGTTACCAAGTCTTCATAAACTTTTTATTGGAATCCAACAGAACACTAGTCAGTTTCATTAAGAAAAAATTAATCCATCCTCTTTTTAACTTCTCCGAAAAACACATGTGGTTTTCTCCATGCCTGGGCAATGGTCTGTTTCGCCGCCAACATGACATAAGTACCCAATTTATGTTGTGAGTTAGTCAGGGATGGAGATTTTTGATGTAATAAGGCTACCCATGGATCTCTTACTATATTAGTCAAAAAAAGATAGTTAACCATCTGAAATACTTTTAACCAAAACCTATCCAGTTTCGAGCATGTCCACCAGGTATGAATCGCATCTCCCCTAAAATCCCATCCTCGAAAACAGAGATCTGAATGTGTCAGGTTAGAGTAAACCGACCTGGAGGGCACTAAGTACAATCTAGTTAAAGTTTTAAATGCAGTTTCCAGAGAGTTTACATTAATGGAACACATAGCTATTGACTTCCACATTTGTTGCCATTCTTTCGGTTGTTTAACAACTCCAAGTTCTTTTTCCCATTTCTGTACATATTTATGGTCACTGGGCTTTAATAACCTGTTTAGCTGGGAATATAATATCGATATAATTTTAGGGGCTGTGGGGCATTTCAGACAGATATTTTCAAAAACCGTTAATTCCGCTATAACTGGAGTTTCAGAAAGCATTAATATAGCCCAGTGCCTAAGTTGTAAATATCTAAAATATTCTGTGTCTGGGGCTTGCATGTTATTCTGAAAGCAAGACCATGTGCCGATCATACCATCTACCATTAACTGGTATAGGCATGTGTCCCCTTGGGTTATCCACCAACCAAATGCATTAGGCACTTCCAGTCCCGGTGGAAACAGAGGGTTACCTATAATAGGAAGTAGCGGTGCATAAGGAGATTGCAGTTCACTGCAATATTTTATATTATCCCAGATTTTAAGCATGTGTTTCAGGAATGGGCTCATAACTTTTGGTCGTAGTCGGTCCGGCAACCAAAGAATAGCCTTCAGTGAAACAGGAAAACAAGATATGTTCTTCTAAGTCTACCCAGATTGTGCAATATAGAGTCATATAGAAATTTGTTAGAAGGACCACTTGTGCAGCTTGGTAGTATTTGTAAAAAATTGGGAGGCCCAGCCCCCCCGTCTCCTATGTATGTACATTGTGCTTTTAGGGATTGTTTGGGAATGAGTGAATTATATATCTTGGGATACAGACTGGGATAGTTCGAAATAAATATAATACTTTGGGTAAGATTGACATTTTAACTGCGTCAATTCTACCTATCCATGAGAGTTTATGTCTCGTCCAGGTCAGTAGTAATTCCTGCATCTGGTTAAACATGGATACATAGTTGACTTTATATAGAAGTTGATAATTTTTTGGGATGTTAATTCCAAGTTATAATAAATATGAAGACCTCCATTTAAAAGGAAAATTTTGTTGTAGTGTCTCAGCTTCAGAGTTTTGCAGCGCAATTTAGAGAGCGGACGACTTAGTCTCATTGACCTTCAAATTAAAGATTTTTGCAAAAAGATTTAAGTTGCTAATCAAGTTGGGGAGAGATATATGTGGATTGGTCAGTGTGAGCATCAAGTCGTCCACAAACATGTGTAGCTTATACTCTGTATGTCCCATCTCTACACCCCTCACACTTGTGTCTGCTCGTGTAAGGCAGGACAATGGTTATATAGACAGAATGAACAGGAGTGGAGAGAGGGGGCACCCTTGGCGAGTACCAGTATTGGAAATGGAGCCGAGTTATATTGAAGGTACCGTACTGAAGCTGAGGAACCTTGATATAATGTCTGCAACCAGACTATAAAATTTATAGAAAATCCCCAATTCCTCAAGATATAAAATAAGTAAACCCAAGAAACAAAATGAAATGCTTTAATTTTTAATTACAATATGCCTGGAATTTTTGCGCTACGCATGTGATGTATAAGGTGTATAATTTTCCGTGTGTTATCTGAGGGTTGTCTATGTGGGACGAATCCCACTTGATCTCGGTGAATAAGGGTTGGCAGGAATTGATTTAACCTTGTGGCTAAGATTTTAGCAAACAGTTTTATATCTACATTTAATAAAGAAATTGGTCTATAAATATGTGGATCCATATTATCTTTCCCCACCTTGGGGATCATCACTATGTGTGCTAACAAAGTTGAAGGGTGAACCGTGTGACCCCCCTTTTAAGTGATTGAATAGGGCTACTAAGTGAGGTGCCAAACTATTTGAAAACTTTTTGTAATATAATACTGAAAATCCATCTGGACCTGGTGTCTTATGTATTTTTAAAGATTTAATAGCGTGTATTACTTCCGCGATAGAAACATCTGCATCTATAACGTTTGTCATGTGTTCAGTCTGAGGGGGCAAAGATACTCTTGACATTAGCTGGTCGGCTAGCTGAGGCTGGAACTTAAGGGTTTTACCATATATCTGGGAGAGAAGAGCAGAAAATCATGATACAAACCGTTTGGTAGACGTATTTTAATTTGGTTTGTAGTCTTTGGTTTTGCTTTCAGCATATTTGCCATCATTGAACCAG